CCACTTACAACTGTAAAAAGTTGTAAGTGGCATGTTGAACACCTAAATGTTCAACAATAAAAGAATAGTTAAATAAACTATGCTATGTCCACCTGCTCAAATACTGACTAGTCATTACAAATTATGTTTATGAGGCTTATGTAGTGACAGAAATGTTTACATTATAATGTTAGGTTTTAAGCTTAATAGTCAGATAGACCATTGAAACTATAGGGTAATTATACTGATTCATAAAGCACCTCTGTGGAGTAGGGTTGGGAGATAGAAAGACTACAATAGAAAAAATGTTACTAGTGCTGAGACATGGGACTTGACTATAGGAGGCATTTATTTTTATTCTTTCAGCTTCTCGATATTTTCCAAGTTTTCTTTAAAGGGCATGTATCATTTTTTAAAACTAAGTAAAAAATTTTTAAAAGGACGTTTGATATCAAAGACAAGGGGGTGGATGGTGAAGTGGCTTGGGAGGAATGCAGGATCAAGGGGAAAGTGACTCTTCAGGATAAAGATTATGTGAAAGTCTGAGGTCAGTAAGAAGGGTGAGGCTGATGTGAGAGTAGACAGGATGCCGTGGAGGGCTAAGTAATTAGGGAAGGCAAGGGGTGAGGATGGGGTGGGGGACAGCTTGAAAGAAGAGAAAGACATCTAATCTAAACAAGAGAGAAGGATGTAACAACAGATGGCTTTGGAGAGAAGTGGAGGGAATTTCTTACCTGGGAACATTTACTTTATTTGGAAACTGGAAGTTTCAATCTACTGAGAAATGTAGGAGTGTGATTGGAGACTTGAGAGGGAAATATGTGGGTTAGCTATTGTGTGGATGGGAAATACAATAAAAATGAGAATAATGAGGGGGAGTAGCCTCAAGGTCTCATCTGAGGATAGAAAGCAACATTTTTCAGGGTATTAAAGGCCACATTGTGGGAAGGCCTTCAGTTGGACCCAGCAGGCTGTAAACAGGAATAGAAAAGTCCAGCTGGAGTTGTGCTCTGGAAAGGCACCTAGTCCAGAGGACAGAGGTCAAGATTCATAGAGGATGCTTGTGTATCACTGAAATGACCAACTGGGGGCCTGAGCCTCATAATCAAGGAAGTGAAACCAGGAGGAGTCTGATGGGTAAACTAACACAATACATAGAAATAGAGGGGCTGAAGCCCTTAAAGAGACTGAACAACCAATTTAACCTGATCACAGGTGACTGAGGAGTGGATGAAAAAGCGAATAAGGGCAGAGCAAGGGTAGAGCAAAGTTTGCCATCAGGATGAGGTCAACTCCTCCATGAGGGTGTGGTGGTGGGAACAGAGAGTCACAGAAGCAGAGGAACGGTAGAGGAGGCAGGAGTTGTTGAAAGGGTGGGCCATCAGCAGGGGTGTTGAAGTTGACTACAGCTGGAAAGCAGGGACACTAAAGCCATTGATGAATGTGGGGGAGTCCCTGGGGGTGTCAGAGTCATAATGACAAGGATGGGAATGGGCATCCCAATGGCAGAGGAGAATGAAAATTTCAGGGATGGTGGTAAAAGTTCCTAAAAAGTCAGTGCAGAGATAAGAATGTGTCGAGACCAGCAATCTTTCATGAAAATCACTAATTGGAAAAATAATGTTTGTATTATCTTAGCACTCATCAAATATTGTTAATTGGTACAAGTATTGAAAAATATACCTGAAATTCAATAACTTTAGAATATGAGTTAGAAGTGATTAAAAAGCTACTAAGAAGGCAAGTAAGTAGGACATATGCAATGCTATTAATTTAGAAGAAAGCAGTTTACAAAATGTTAAAAAATTATTTTGAGAAACTACAGAATAGCATTAATGCAAAAATGTGTAATAAGCACAATAAATTTAACAGATCCATAATTCATCATCTCTGTGTTTATTCTTGGGAATAAATTTTCTAGAACATGCACACTTTGAATAACGCTGAGTCTTCGGGCATGCATCTCTTAGATAAATAAATCACATAAGAAATAGATCTAGGTAAATTCAAGTGAAAAAACCCTGGAGACATTTGGAAGTGTAATGTTGGAACTCAAAAGAAGAGCCCCAAGCTGGAGCTGTATAGTTAAAAGTTATCTGTATATGACTAAGAGTTTAAATCATGAGCAAGAATGAACTTGTCAAGCAGCAAGTACACATTTAAGAGGTCAAAAATATGACCTTCTGAAGACACCAAATTCAGAGGCCAGCAAGAGGGAAGCAGAGAGTGAAGACCATCACTGAGGACATAGAATGTGTCAAGAAGTTTCCAAGCATCTACTTCTAGCATCTCATTTAATCTAACTGTTTAATTCCAGGCTGTTGTATACACCCGATTGTATAAGGAGGGCAATGAGAAATGAAAAGTAAAGCAACTTGGCCCAGGTCATGCAGGTCTGTTGGATTCACTGCTTCCTTAAGAAGCATGCATTAGCCTGACATAGAATAATAAACTGCATAATTTCAAGATAGAGATGAGAGAAGTTTAGGTAACTAGGATGAAATGAACCACTGTCCTCTGCCTCAGTAAATGGCACCACCGCCTACCCAGTTAGCCAAGCCATGAACCCAGAAGTTATCCTTCACCTCTCTCTTTCTCACCCCCACATCAAATCCATTAGCATATCCTAGGAGTTCCAGCTGCAAATTGATATACTTTTTTTACTACATCTGCTGCCCAACACCTCTGTCTAAGGCACATTTATTTCTCCCCTAGAAAACTCCAGTCACTTATTATCCCATGTCTGCTCTTGCCCAGCTACAATCCATGTTCCCTACAGCAACTAACAAGCTGAATGGTACTGGCACTTGGAGCATCAGTAATCACTTTTCATTGTTGAGACTTCACTGGTCAGGCAGTCCTGCTCATTTCAGAATGTTTAGCATTGCCAGCCTCTGCCCAGTAGTATCCTAAGTAAATGCTTCCACTTCCAAACATCTTTCTGAGTGGGAAGTAATTCTGTCTCACCCCACCTGATCCCATCTCCAGGTTGAGAACCATAGAACCTGAGTGATCTTTTAACATAAATCTGAATATGTCACTGCCCTGCTTAAAACCTTTAATGGTTTCCCATTGCACTGAGAGTAACTTTCCATCTCCTTCTGGGGACCTCAAAGCCACTCATGACCTGGCCTCCATCCATTTCTCCGACCCATCTTTTAAAGCCCTCTGCCTCCTCCTCTTGCTTGCTTCAGCCCAGCTTGCTTTCTCATTCTTGGCTACATTAACTATTTCCTGCCTCTAGGCCTTTATGCCTGCTATTCTGGAATAGCTCCTTCCTTGACTCTTCTTGACTGACCCTTTTCTCTTTCTTCAGCCTCAGGCACTAATGCTTATGTAGGTGTGAGATTGTCAATGGCCATCCAGCAGGCATTGCTAAGAGATGGAGAGAGATGAGAGATGGGGAGGGGAGGGGAGGGGAGGGGAGGGGAGGGGAGGGGAGGGGAGGGGAGGGGAGGGGAGGGGAGGGGAGGGGAGGGGAGGTCTTTTGAACCCCTGGATCTGGCTGTTCCTTAGGGAGAACTCGTCCATTTGAATTCTTAGTACACAAAGCAGTAGCATTCCCCTTTTTACTTAAGATACTTTGGGTGGGGTATCTATCACTCACTCTCCATGGAAAACATTGTGACTAATACTCCATGTGCTTCCTCAGAGTCGCGCACCTGTGTGTACCAGGGTAGACAGAAGGTTAGTCTCTTTTAGCACTGGGTGAAATGTGACTCTTCAGGATCTCCTTGCAAGCTCCCTCAAGGAAGGACTGGGGTCCTTGGCAGAGTTGCTCAAATCTTTGCATTTCCAGTTCTCCACTAAAAATATTTGCTGGCATCCTGCTTCATCATCTTCTTCCTTTTTTCTTCCATCTCTTTTTATCTTTTTCTCTAAATAGGCTCAAAATTTTTTCTTGAAAAAGAGTCTTCTCTCCATCCAGTTACCCTTTTCAATTACATGTTATCTCTTTCACCCCTCACCATGAAACTCCTTGCAAGAGAATATAAGTGCCTCTCATTTCCTTATCATAGATATACCACCAACCAACCCTCTGCAACCAGGCTTTTACACCCACCTGTCTAGTAAAACTGCATTTGCCAATGGTTACCATGACCTCCAAGTAGGTCAACTAACCATGGCCTTTTCTGGGTGTTCATTCTCATTGCTTTTTCTGCAGCCTTTAGCCCAGCTGACCATACCTTCCTCATCTTCCCTGGCTTCTGAGATATCTAATGGTTTTCCCACCTTCTTGGCCATTCCTTCTGGATACTGACTTATTGGCAAAACCTCTAGGCAAGAGTGAGAAGGTGAGGGTCAGTGCTTGATCAGTCTTCTTGGTTCAAATGAAGCCACTCAACTAGTTGTTAGTCCTGCCTCTTTAAAATTCCATATGAAGGGGTCCATCACTTGGGTTGCTCAGCACAACCTAATGCTAGGTGACCAAAATTGAAATTGTCTAGGCACAATTCTATAGTGAGAACTGCTTATTGCTTTATGTTATCTGAGCACTTGAATAGTGTCTACAAATGTCCACTGGATTTACCTGTCCAGGTAGTCCTCTTCTCTTCAAACCAGAACTTTCACTTGAAGCCTTAAAATGGATTGGCTAGAAAGACCAATCCCGTATCATGACATGAAGTGTATTCAGTATGATCAACAGTTATTTAAAACATATATGATAAACATATCATTAAAGTGAGGTTCCTGTATTAAGTACCATTCTATCCTTACCTAGGTATTGGGGAAAACAATGGTTGGCTTGTCTGTACAAAGTTCAGGCACTTGGTCCTCCTTTAGCACTAATTTTGAACTTTATGAAAAGAATTATTTTCTCATGAGGAAATGGGAATATCCTATGGGTTTCAAGCAGATTCTAGTCTCACTTTTTCCTGTGTGCAGTAATGTAGCAGATTTTCATTCTATTTTGTCTCTGTTTATACTTTGATTTTGCTTAGGAATACTTTTGGCATGGCTGTTGGAAAGACAATCCACACATATGAGCTTGGAGAAAGTAGGCAATGAACATGACCACATTTCAGCTTAGAACCTTCTTTATGAAGGAAGGACCTCCAGACACTTTTATTAATAGGCAAATATAAGCTTGGCAAGAACACCTGTCAAAATCACAGTTCTCATTTTTGTGAGGTCAAAGAAGATGGAGAGCAGTGGTGGTGGCTTAGCATCAAAACAATGACAATTGAGTGGCTGGCTTTACGCCTTTTATCAGACATAACTGTCACCCCCTCTGCTTCTGTTTTCTGAAGAGTGAAGAGAAGTTGGAATTCCAGGCTTGATATTAATCTAGACCACATGTGTCACTTGCTTTGATAGCAGACAAGGCCCCTACCTGTACTCAGACTTGGACAAAATGGTGGCTATGTTCTTTTTGCCAATCCTTCTCATCTCTAACCTTCATCTAGACCTTGAAGTGTCTGATTCTCCCAGGGCAAGGGCGGACCAGTGGCCCAGTAGCAGCATCCACTCCGGGCTGTACCACCTTGGGTGATTTCCCCACTTGGAACGCTTCTCCTGAGGCTGACTCCACTGAGGCCACACCCGGGAAGGTGTGGCGAAGGTCATGGTGTGCCCGGTTCACTGATGCAGATGGCGGGGGAGCTGCCACCACCAGGGGTCCCACCACCTTGGCACCCGCTGGCAGGTTAGCTGGAGGGGGTGGAGGCGCAGCTGAAGCTGCTCCAGAGGTGGGTGTATTGGTGTCTGGCTGAGGCTGTAGTACCACAGGCTGGAGAGAGAACCATTTCCTTAGGTTAGCAAGCTATCTTTCTCCTCCCAGACAAAGCCACCCATGCTTCTGGGTGAAGCCGCACCTAATTCTCTCACAATAATAATTTTTATTTGCAAGGAATCTGGCAAAAAGAAAAAAAGGACTACCTAGGAGCAAAGGATTATCATCAGAGCCAAGGGGAGGGTAACTGGCTTACAGTCACCCCTTCTCACCAATTGTCTTGGGGACTGAGGACTCATACATGTCCCATGAGCAAAAGCACCCCACTTGATGGCTAACCTTCACCAGCCTTGTCACCCACTTTGTTTTCTACACCTGCAGCAACTGGGAGCTGCTGGGCAGAGCTGGCCATCTGGTCTCTGCAGTACAGAAAACCATTCCCACTCCCGGCAGATAAAAAGGTTGCCCTTCAACTATTTACTAAGATAGTTCTGCCCTGTAGGCACCGGCTCATGGGAAGGGAAGGAATGGCTGAAATACCCTCCCATTTGTTGATGGTTCCACACACCCCAGTGCTATTTATCACTGTGGGGCTCAGAGGGACAGGGCAGCAAATGCCCTGTGACTACAAACACACTGCATACATGTCAAGGGGTCTTCGAATTCTGAAGATGAGGGCAAGTGTATCCCTGATGCCATTACCTGTGTTGGGAACACTGTACAGGTCACTTCATCAGCATTCCCAGGACCACCCCCAAGAACCTTCTCATAGATGGTCGCCCTACAGAAGCCATATTGCTGCCACAGAAAGATAGAAATTAGTTGAACTGGTTCAATAAGTGTATTTCTCCCCCCAGTTTCACTGATACTCCAACACATCAAAGGGAAAAAAATTGAACTCTTAATTCCTTTTTTCAACTCTTTTTTTCTAAAGTTTATAGTGTCTGCTTACAGAAGATATAAAATATATAATTCTTTATAGAATGTGGAAAGTACAGAAATGCTTTGAGAATGGAAAAAATCATGCATAATCCCCCAAATGGTGGTAACTCAGCAGAGCTTCCACTAACAACCATGTCTTTCTTTATTATTTTAAAACACTGTTAAATATAATTTAAAATATGAAATCATTAAGACTATACCATTTTATATTCTGTGTTTTTCACTTACTATAATATGAGAGCATTTTCTCACATAATTCATTATTCCTTGAAAACATGATTTTTAGTGTCAGTATAATTTTCTATTCACTGATGTGCTATATTTTATTAAATGACTTTCCCCTGTTAGACATTCAGATCTTTTGGGGGTCATTTTGTATCTGTGATAAATCATCTTTATAGATTTTTTTAAATTATGAAACTATTTTATTTATTTTTAAATTTTATTTTTCAATTACATTTAATACTTTCTTTAGATTTTATTTATTTATTCTTAGACAGAGAGGAAGAGAAAGAGAAAGAGAGAGAGAGAGAAACACTGATGTGTGAGAGAAACATCAGTTGGTTGCCTCTCTTACACATCCTGACTAGAGACTAAACCTGCAACCCAGGCATGTGCCCTGACTGGGAATCAAACCAGTGACCTTTAATTTTGTGGGACAATGCCTGATTAACTGATCTACACCAGTCAGGGACAATTACCTTCAGTATTATTTTGCATTAGTTTCATGTGTATATAGATATATTTCTATCAAATGTCTCTGATGATCTCTTTGGGCTAAATTCTAGAAGTGGGCATTATTGGCTCAAGGGCTTGAAAGATTTCATATCAGAGGTATATCTAGCAAATCTGGACTCCACAGTCCCAGCAACAGGGCATGACTTGGCTTACTTAGGAACAGTCTGTTTCTCCTAACTCCAGGGGAGTCCAGCTGATAAGATGATTCGGGAACAGCTCTTAAAGGGAGAAGGTGACATCCTAGAGGAGATCCTGACATGACGCAGCCCCACAGGGAGTGGGTATTCTGTGCAGTGATTCCTTTCCACAGCCCCAAGATACTAGCTTGCTCTAAGGATGCTCTGTCCTATTACCAGCTTTGCTATCTCAGGACCCAGTCCACTCACCTTTTCTGCAAGCAAGTTACATTTGGCTGGGTCTGTGACCTCTTTAGCAACACAGTCAGTGGCAGCCACTGCAAACTCCACGTAGGTTGCAGGTGGAAGAGGCTGATGAGAAATGAAAATGCTCATGAGGCAACGTGACAGCATTAAAAAGGCAGAAAAGGAGAAGCTGGAGAAAAGTAGCCAGGGCCATGGCATTGCACACTACAAGCAGCACCACAGTGAGTGGCCAGAAAACACAGCCCCAATGGGTTGCATGGGGTGGTTACTGTGGCCTCATTTTCTGAAGTGCTTGTACACAGAGGTTAGGGGTAGGTCTCCCCTAAAGGAGGTGCAGGTAACCACTGCCCATCATTCAGGACAGAGTGAGTTTTCAAATAGGAATCAGGAGCCCAGAAACCAACCTTATGCTGATCCAAGTGAAAACCCAGCTTCCCCACCCCCCAGCCTTTTCTCTTGGGACTGCACTTTGAGACCCAAGTTTACTCCAAGGGGAGGGAAAGTAGAGATTAATTAATACCTCTCCCACGAATTGTATCAAGTAGGATTAAATGAAAAATAGAAGTGAGAATATGGAAGATATTTAAGCTTGTTTTTGTAGTTCTTAAGAAGCATATGGACACTTAAAATAATCAAATTTCTGTTATTTGGTACAGTGTCGGGTGGGCATGCCCTGAGAAGCACACATTCTGGCTGATAGAATTGCCACCTATACAGTGCATTTCCAAGTATGCCATGGGTGGTGTCCAGAATAGCATTTTCTTAAATATTAGAATTCTTTTGCATTCGAATATGCCACACTATCCATAGCACAATTAGATTTTTTTTCTGTGATTCAAAAGGCATTTTGGGATCCTGCCATTATATGCTTATCTGTGTGAGTAGGCTTGCACCTTTACAAGCATCGATTATGCGAGTACAGTCGATGGTCAGTGGTGATGGCTGTTAAGGATGTGGAGACCCGTGAATTTTCACGGGTCCCGTGAGTCCTTCTGGGCAATGTGGGAACGCCTACCCACTAAACAGTGAGCCCTGGTGTTAACTAGAACTGAGGAACCGGGGACAGGCAGTGACTGGCTACTTATGTTAAAGTGGCTCAGCATGGAGGAGGCACTGAGTGTTCTTTGGGTCCATGTGACACTCAGGGTCCTCACATTCTCCACGACTCTTTTCCCTTTTTTTCCCATCACCCTCCTTGCCTTCCCATTGCTACCCCTGCACCTGCTCTGTCCCTCACTGCTCCTTTATCATGTTTCTTCCCCAAGAGCCACCAAATTGCCCATTTTGTCAAAAGGTCTCAGTCTTACCACAATTTGAGCCCGGGTAATTTCCACAAGCTGAAAGTAGGAGCCACTATTATTCGCATTGAAAGCTTCCAGCGCAGCATCTACAGCATTTGCCACCCCGGTGTTATTAAGTGGAGCTAGCAGGGGGCAGTCTGGGCACACTTTTCGCACATCCTCTGCAGAGTCTGTGCACAGAGAGAAGAAATGGATAGGCTGTAATGCTCCACGGCATTCACCCCAGCTCTACTTATTTAGAAAGGGCTAAGACATGATCCAAATGGCTTCATGCAATTTCTCTGCTTCTTACTAAACCTTCATTCAGGTGGCTCCTGTCATGAGTCCCTCTCTCTCTCAACCAGGGCAATTTTCACCTCCAATGAATGAGAACAGCTTCCTAAAACAGTTTTAAAATCCCAGAACCCAGGAAATTTGGCTTCTTCTTTTCTTCGCCATCAAAGGGTCTAGAACTACTCATGTAGATAACAATGCAGGTTCCTTCCTCACTCTCTCTACAAGGTCAAACAAAATTAGAAGAATCATCTCTACCTGGACTGGAATCACATTTTGCAAACAACACGAACAACTGGCCATCCTGTTTCAGCACACGGAAATCACAATCTCCTTCCACAGCCTGGAGAAATAAACCCACAGTGAGGGCCCTGGAGAAGGGGCTGGCCCTTCACTTCTCGATCCCGGGGTGGAGCAGGCCCCTCAGGCATGGTTGTCAAAGGTGAGCCTCCCAAAATCACCTTCAGTGGATGATATTGGCCCATGACACTCTGGTTGTGGGAGGGCTGCAATAAGCAAGTTGAACTGTTGCAAAAGATGAGCCCTAGGGAAGGAGGTTTCCAACAGCAGTTTGAGCAACTGCACACTAGCTGGGTATGAGGGCCAGCTGGGCAGCTGGGTAAATGGGCCCGTTCTCTGCAGAACCATGATCTCCTCTCCAGGACATCATGGGTCACCCCCCACCACCCCTTGCCACCCTCCTTCAATCACCCTAAGAGTGCCACTCACGTGATATCTCAGCGGCCTCACAGAGCAATTGACCACAGGGGTGGGGTCCAGTACATGGCAGGTGGTTTCCAGTGTGTCTATTTCAAGCTCAAACACTTCTCCTCCCGTGGGCCGCTGTGGAGACAGAAGGAAGAGGTAAGTAGCATATTGCCCTGTTCCTGTTGATTAGGTCAAAGTGTGAGCCCTTAGCCCTGGCTGGTGTAGCTCAGTGGATTGAGTGTGGCCCGTGAACCAGACATTCCCAGTCAGGGCACATTCGTGGGTTGCAGGCCAGTTCCCAGCAGGGGCCAGTTCCCAACAAGGGGTGCACCAGAAGCAACCATACATTGATATTTCTCTCCCTCTCTCCTTCCCTTCCCCTCTAAGGGTAAATAAAATTCTTTAAAAAAAAAAAAAAAGTGTGAGCCCAACTTAAACCCACCCTCTGTTGGAGTGGTGAGGGAAGTCATTTCTACTGTGAGTCTGCAACTCCATCCACCTCTGACCTGCCCTGCCCTGTGGACTGGACCCCAACAGGGCCTCCTGGTCCTCCCCTGCTGGCTGGACAGGTGCTCAAAGAAGGGGGTATGGGTTGGATGGCCTGGATGGGTTGATGGAACCACAGTCATCACTCTGAGCTCTATTTAGAAGCTAAAAGTGAGGGCTAACATTGATTTAAGTTTGAAAATTTCACCCTTCAAGCAGCTTTTAAAAAGTCAGCTTTGCATTTTTCTCAGTTAAGCTTCAAAGTAAGATACTGTAGAATAATATCTTACTAATTTATTCATAATATCTACTTTATCTTCTCCATCCCTCCATCAACTTCTTTTTTTCTTCCCTCTCATCCTCTACATTCCTTCCTTCCCCATTTCCTTTTCCTTCCTAAAAGAAAAGTCCTTGAATTTGTCAGTCTGCAAATGCTTGATGCGAGTTGGTGTCCTCTACTGCCCCCTGCTGGTGGTAATGGGGAAGAGGCGCACCTCTCTAACACAGGAAGCTGTATTCTAAGTCCCTAGCGCAGGCCAGTGATAGGGGAGCTCGTAAGACTCCTTGGAATTGTTCTTGCCAGCTCACCCATTTCTGTATCCTTTCTTCAGAGCCTGAAAAATCAAGAAGGTATAAGTATGCCTTTTTATTTTGCCCCATTTCTTCTTGCCTCTCATATCTGTTCTGCCTTATTCACTAGTACCCAAAGCCTCGAAATCTCTTCTGGAGAAAGCTGTGTTTTATGATGTGCGGATGCGTCCAAGTTAACTTCCTGAAAACACTCAGAGCTGCAGAGAACAGGAGCTGCACACCCCTAGGTTTCTCCAGGAAAGTAATTCTCAAGCTCTGCCTTTAGTGAAAACCACGTCTGTTCAACACCTTTTCCTCACATGTGCACGTGGTGTGTTATTCCCCCTGAACCCGTGTTTTCTCTGGACTTCAGTATGGTTGCAGAGCTCCTCGAATCCATCTGGGACTATCCTGATTTTAGATATTTTATCCCACTAGGAGATCAGATGTTAGTCAATCTGGACAATCTGATGATGTTTATCTTATTTGCCTTTCTAGATGGTAAACCTCTTGTGGGCACTATGTCATTTCTCACTTTTGTATTGGGTTCAGCCATTAAAATGCCACTATCTGACTGCTTTTCATGTACAAAAATGGTAGTTTCATTTTGTTCAACCTAATATAGCATCTGACACTAGTTCTTGCCCACAGAAGGATTGTAATCAACATTTGCTGAAAGAATTATTCCTCATCAGATATACGATTTAATTTCAAAATAGTCAGTAGACCGATGCCTTTTCCCCACCTCTCTAAACATCTCAGCTTATCTCCTAGGCATATCTTTTTAGCTTGCTCTTTATTGTCACTGACTACACTGGTTTCTTGTTCGGTGTTGTGAGGAAGTAAACCTTACTGATGCCAAGATTTCTCCCTGGGATGTGGGATCTGGGAGGCAGCTTGTATAGAGGAAGGTACAGAGGTTTGGAATCAAATCCCAGACCAATGCTTACTAATTACATGACCTTGGTGGGGGGAACAAACAAACAAATTGCAATTTGTCAGATCCTTGGTTTCCTCTTCTGCAAGACAAAGACAATACCTATGGCACAGGACAGGGGCATGGGAGGAGTTAAGGAGATAATACATGTGAAAGGGCCTGGTGTATGGTAGGTAAATTGTCAAATGCTCTTTTCATTCATTTTCAGTCTTCATCCAGAAAAATAGAAGCAAAGAAAGATAAGTGATTTCCAATTAGTGATAATTAGGGAACTAGAATCCAGTCTCTTACACCCAAGTTTTTCTAGCAAGTCTCACCTTTTCCCTTTGATCTTCAAAATATCCTTTTCTTCTCCTGCAACTCTACCCCACCCCCAGCACTTCCCTTGTGACTCCTAAGTACAGATCAGGATGTGTCCTCTCTTGCCCTCCACTTGCCCCCTCCCTCCCTCCTGGAAAGAAATCAGTTTATCCCTCTGCAGTTTCATTTGTGCTGGCAGAAATGATATTTTGAGACACCCAGTTAAGCTCCACAAACAGGTTCTTCCAGCTCATATGCAGCAGGTTCACTTACCGGAGGCCACACTTTCACTTTGTCAATCTGGTTCAAGGTGTGCTTGTAGCCTTGACTCCTGTGCTTATTGATGTAGTCCACAGCTGCCATAGCTACTTGCTCTACTTCTGGGTCATCACAATTCACTTGTCCATAGGCCAAACCTACGCCAGGTGGGGCAGCGTAGCATTCCCAGAGCTGAGCAAGGCAGAGGACCAGAATGAGGAACTTCATGGCTGCTCCAGAGGGGCCCTGAAAGGTGAGCCGATGCTGGAGGCTTCAGAAGTAACTCAGGTGCTCTGCTGGGAAAGGTAGATCAATGGAGAGGCCAAGGGCTTTATTTATCTGCTGAAGCCTCCCAGAGGAATTGCAAAAGGGTGGGGGGTGATTTCGGTTGTGGTTCCAAGAGAACATCTGCAAACATGAGCCCTGGAAAAGCAAACAGGTTAGGACATTGCTGGCCCCCAAGAAATCTTCCAAATCAATGCTTCTGAGAATGGGGTGGGGGAGATGCTCTAAACTTGTCTGGGAACATGGTCCCAGCAGTGGAGAGAAGAGGCTGAGGGGATGATGAAGTGTGCATCGAGGCGAGGTGGGCTGTTGAGTGCTGCAGTTTGGCAGCAGAGTGAGAGCCTTCTGTTGTGATCTGAGCACACCGTGGGGTCTGTGAGGGTAAAAAGGGGGATGTGTAGAAATTTGATAAAATCATGTAATGTCGGAGAGGGTTATCTCCTCCAAGAGGAACCCTAGAGGGAGGACAAGGCCCATAGTTGTAGCAAAGGTACAGATGATCTAGAGTAAAAAGGGAGAGCTATGGGAGATGCTAAGGTCTTAGGTAAGATTCTCGGAGGAAAGAAAGAGAGGTGTTTCTTCCCAAAGCAGGGAATGGGGGCAAGACCAGGGGATTCCCTCAGCAGAGCCAGGGAGGAGGGCCATGGCTAGCAGAGCAACATGGTGCTCTGTGTCCCCTTAGCTGCTTGGCTCTAGACCTGACTGCCAGGGCCCTGTTGGTGACAGCACAGACAACACTGCCTGGGTCTCCTGGGTGGTTGGGTGTGATTGGCACCAATGGCCCTGTGCCACCTGCAGCTCAAGCCCCCAGCAAGTGCACAAGAGCAGCACAGCGGGTGGCAGGGTTAGGCAGGGGAGCTGAGCTAACAGCCATTCACTTGGCAAAGCTCTGAGTCTGAGTCCCCCACTGCAGTAGATACACCGCAGGGGCAGCAGAGAACACAAATGCCTCCTAAATGTCCTCTGAAGACATAGCAGAATTCAAGTCTTTCTGGCCAGAGCACAGGGCCACAGTGTCAGTTCCAGGCGCTGCCTTTAAAGTGGCCCTTGACAATCCCAGGTGTAACTTCCAAGGAGGGCAGCCAGGATAGCAAGAGGCTTGGAAAATATTGTATGAGGACCTGGCTTGGTTTAACCCAGAGCAAGGAAGCCCTACATGGAGACCAACATGTTCTTCAAACATTTAGAGGTCGTCATAGTGTGGGGGTGGATTTGTTCTGTTGTTTGCTATTGCTTCAGAGAATGAAACTTGTTTTTTTAAAAAGGAGGGGGCCTTTTAGGGGGGAGCTTACTAATATCGATTTGCTGGGGGATGGAGGGAGGTGGGGGAGTGTGGTGGAGCACAGAAAGTAGCTAGAAGGGCAAGTTCCACATTTACCCCCAACTGCTCCTACACTAACACCAGAATCCTAATGACAGAAACATTGGTCAGGATTCCAGATTCTCTTTGACAGGGGGTCCTGGCTCTTAGAGACACAAAACAAGCTCTGGTCCCCTGGGAAGGTGACCCACAGAACCAGGGGTGACTTTCCATCAGCCTTATGCCCCATTTTCTTCAGGGTCTTGATTCATGAGCAACTTTTTGTGGAGGCTATGCTTTTCTTTCTTTTGTTTTTTGTATTGTTTTGTTTTTATAAATCCATTTTTAATATAAAATATGGCCATTAATAATTGAATCTGAAAAATCACAAAAACTATGTTCAGGGAGTAAATATTTCATGTGTTATAAGCTCAACTGTATAAACTATAACTTCATTTACGACAGCACATTTGAATTTCTAACTCAGAGCACTCTTTTGTGAAAACTTAACTGCGCCCAGGTAAGCTATTCTCACAGTCACTTGGGTTGAAACCATGTCCCACCAAGGACTGTCTGCCTCTTATGTTTCTTCTCTCCTCTGGGATTAAGAGCAAGCCTGAGTGGGCAGGGGGGTGATTTATACAAATACCACTTCAGTCAAGGGCAGAAAGGGGTTCTCCTTTGCCTAGTCAGGCTGCAAGGGCCTGTGCTGGCATCATCTGTCTCATTTGTCCTTAGTCACATCCACCTGGCATGCCCACTCATGAGCCAGGTCCTGCTTGCCCCATCTAAGCCATAGACAAAAAGTCCTCCTGCATTCCCGGTCAGGGGTCCCCTAATCTCACCAGTGACCCTTGCTAGACTACAGGCCTCTCTCAGCTAGATGCTACCCGCTCCTTAAACTTGGGGAAATTTAACTGCTGTGCCCACCCATAGCATGGGGGACGTCGGGAAGCTGCCTTCGAGCCCATCTGCCTAGACAACCCCGCAGCCGTGGCCCACCACTGCTCTGACGCCACCTGCTACTCAGGGGACTTTGTGTGATGTGATGTCTCCCTGTGCTACTGGCACACCCACCCTCATCCCCATGGTGAGTTCTGGGTTCCCTCTGCTCCGGGATTTCCACTCTTTTTGAGGTGGTTCTATTGCCACCTCAACCTGAGGGTCGGGGGAGGAAGTTCTGCTTGATCATTATTTATGATCATTTCTGTTACCTGGAGCATTTCTCTTGGTATCTTCATTCTTGGATCTTCCATGAGTGGCAATTCCTAAAGCACTAGGGATTGCCCAGTTTTGCTGGTGCTAGGAAAACAAAAAGCAATTAATAACTGACCTATTATCCTCTCACCTATAAACAGAAAAACAAACTCATCCACAATCTCATCATCCAAAAACAGACATTTTAGTACATTCCCATTTTGTATGTTTTCTTCCTCTGCAAGGGATTATTTTAATGTAATTCAAATCATACTGTATATACAACATTGTATTCTCCTTTTTTCATTTCATATTATAACTGGAATATTCTGCCCATCTCATTAGACTTGAAAAGCATGCTTATAATGACTGTCTATGCCTCTATTGTGTGTATCATTTATTTAACTTTCTCTTACTGTTTGGCATTTAGTTTGTTCTCAAGTGATCACTATCATATACAAAAGTTTGAATGAAATTTATGTAGGAATCTCTGGTGTTCTAGTAATTTTTTCAGGATAGATTCTTATTAGTGAAATTATTGATTTAAATGATTTTCATATTTTTATTTTTAATATTTTGTTTTAATTGTATTTTTATAACCATTTGTAACCCTTATACCCTCTCCCACCTCCGCTCCCACCCCCCAATCACCACACTGTTGTTTGTGTCCATGAGTTCTTTTTCTTTTTTGCTCGAGCCTTCCATCATCCCCTACCCAGAGCTGTCAGCCTGCTCTCTACCTATGAATCTGTCTCTATTTTGCATGTTAGTCTCGCTTGTTTATTATATTCCACATATGAGTGAAATCATATGGTATTTGTATTTCTCTGACTGGCTTACTTCATTTAGCAGTGCTCTCCAAGTCCATGCATACTGTAACAAAGGGTAAAATTGCCTCCTTTCTATTGATTTGGATATTTTTAAAGCTCTTAATTTCTCTGGCCAAACTGCCTACCAGAAAGGCTGTGCCAGTTTACACCCCTCCACCCCATGGACCCGGTGTGCTGTGTCGGGTCGGCTGCTTCCTGTTTTCCTCCGCTGCTGCTTCCAGGCTGACTTCTGTGGGAACTTAGATACGGGGGAAGCATCAGAACTCCTTTAAAATGTAATTTATTAATATCTTTGTTTTCCCAAATATTTCATATGTCTAATTCTTATAAACTAAAATAACTTTGATATCAAGCTGAATAAAATGGTCCCTCATTTAAGTTGTTTCAGTTAACTCACAAAGAAATGTTACCATTTGCTTACTGACAATGAAGAAGAAAATGAAGGATACTATGGTATGTTTTCTAAAAGAGCTGTAGCAAAGATTGCCAAAGGAAGGTTATAGGTATTTCACCGTGCCTGATGCCATCTATTGCAAACTTGGAAAGATTTTCACCTGCCAAATGCCAAGTGCACATACCCATGAGTGCTCCTGGGTCAGTTCCATCCCCCTGGCTCCAGCTTCTTTGCATGGCAGTAAGAGATAGGCATTTACTTCTCTTTTTCATCATTTGTCTCATTATTTTAATTACTTATCTGTGCAATTTTCTATGAGGCCCACATGAAACAACATTCTTTCCATTCATACTACTGTATCTGATAGGGTATGGAAGATACCAAGGGCTCGTTAGAGCAGGTAGAGGAGACCCGGCCCAGAAGCTTAAGGAGCAGAAGAGGACCAACCACCTCCAGGAGATGCCAACAGGGCCCTAGGAGGCATTGCTGGGTAGAATCCCCATGCGTACGGCTGATGGTGGAGACCTCAAGATGGCAGCTGTGGTTGGCACCAGGCCTCTGGATTTGTCAGTAGAGCTCCCCACTAAGGTGGCAATGCATTCAAACTGTTCCAAGGCAGCATTCAGGATGTATGGCTGCCAGTCAGGAGGCAAGACAAGAAGAATCCCAGGAAAGCTCAGGGTCAGAGTTGCTGAGGTTGTTTCTTTCGGGTCTATGCCAAGCACAAATGGGTCTCTCAGGGGAAGGACAGAACTAGTAGAGGGTGAAATATCATGCCAGGCAGCAAGAGCTGAAGTGAGAGCCTCTCACAAAATATGACACAGACAAGGACATGTGAGCAGAAGCCAGAGGAACAGTTGGTTTTTGCAGGGAGGAAGTGGCAGTGGTTGGTGTTTAAATCACTGGGCCAGACTCCTGGCTCTGTGCCTTCTGGTACTTAAGGGGCCTAGGCCATGAGTGGCCAAGGATTAATTTCTGATAAGTGTGGTGTTTCTTCATTCATATTGACATTTATTAAATGCCTACTATCTGTGATGTTAGGTGCCTCAATGCAGAGTGATGAGAAGACACCATCCTGCCTGAAGGAGCTCATCTTAACTTATTTGATCCAGTGACATTTGATTAGCCAAGAGCCATAAGTTATACACAATTATGATATTTGTCCTATGGAGACAAACTGGAATTTATTTCTCCAGTGTAAAACATCACTTAATGGAATACAAGTTACCCTTGTGCAAGGACATGTCAGATTTCTCGTGAAGGTGTCTTAGCACCAGTTGCCCTAGATGTGATTTGGAAGAGCCCTTTGGACTCA